TAGATTTTGAGGCCAATCATGTATGCAGGTTAGAGTCTTTAAAATGGAATTACTGCTTAGAATTTTTGTTTTTACTCCCACCACCTTCACTCCAAAATCTGTTGCCAATTTCCACTGTTACCTCCTGCAGATCATTAACTTTAGGAGATGAATTGTGACCTCCCAGGAACTGTTGCTATTTATGGGTGCAATGGTTTGGCAGTACAATTGCATATTTCTCCCAGCATTCCTCAGTTGAATTTCTGACAGCCAGAGCATATGGGGAAAAACCGCTTTGGGTGGCCAACAGTTTGCAGTTTGGATGGATGGATAAGGAAAGTTCTTGACAGGGTTTTTACTGAGTTTTGTTTTCTACTCCTAGGATGTTGGCTCTTAGAGGTGGGCTACCTTATCTAGAACACCTCAATCTCTCTGGCTGTCTGACAGTAACCAGTGCAGGTCTGCAAGATTTGGTCTCAGTATGCCCGTCTCTAAATCATGAACACTTTTACTACTGTGACAACATAAACGGTAATGTCTTTTGAATGAAATGTTTGTTCAGACTTCAAAATCTTTCTCTTTACATAGATGGAAGATCTCCAAATACCGTACAAACATTTGGTAAATTGGTTGTCTTGCCAAAGATAAGATTTAAAATTTATTCTAAGTTTATGCTGTTTTCTTAAGGAATCATAGTTGTGAGGAGTATTAAAGAATTTAGTTTCAGTCAAATGGCTAATGATCTATTTATAAAAGAAAGGAATCTCTAGTTTTTATGTTTGCTATTCTTCTGGCATACATGTTTGTAAAAAGATTAGAAGTAACATATAATCTTGTTTTGAAGTTTTTATGACTTGAAGTCTCAATATTTTAATTTTGAGTGCTTTCAAAGATTAATTAATTTAGCACCAAGTATCTTACTAATAATATTCTAACTACCAGTTTTGTTTCCAGTGCAAAAGTACATTTAAAAATAGCATTCTTGATCAGAGCTGAAATCATCTTAAATCTGAATCAATATCTGAACTTACAGACCAAAAATCATGTTGGGAATGGTCTTGTCAGAAATGCTCCTGTATGATAGTTATGTTGGTATCTTTAGCAAGTTCCTGACTTACCACTTGTTATACTTCATGAAAATGAAATTCATGCATGAGAAATGTTGCCCTCCAAGAGTATTTCAGAATAGATTTGCAAAATGATATAATGCTTCTCAATGGTTGTAATTATATCTGCTTCAAAAATGACATCTGCTGCTTTTATTTTCTCTTTCCATAGTGAGGAATTCCATGATATGCAGCATTTCATTTTTACTTGAAGTATAGAAATTTGAATATACTGGGTGGGTCTACTGTTAACTGCTTACAGGAGGAAACTTGAAGACATGAGAACTTAAATGTTCTGAGTACTTAAATCAGGGTGGATAAAAATCAATGATTTTTTAAAAAAAATAAAAAAAAATCAGATTTTTTTGATTTAAATTGGATTTTTTTGATTTAAATCTGATTTTTTTTATTTAAATTGGATTTTTTTGATTTTTATCGAATTTATTTTAATAAAAAACTTTTGGGGTAAAAATCTATCATAAGATAGTTTTCTATTTAAGATACATAAATAATTTAGTTTATTCAGCATGAAATGGAGCTTAGTTATGTAGCATGAGGCTGTATATTCTGCAACACTGGGACTATCGGTGAGTCAACAGTGGGTCAAAGGAGTAGCAGAGATGACAGTTGCTCTTTAAAAATTATGATTTAAATCGAGTTGATTTAAATCAAGCCTTTTTACTAGTGATTTAAATCATGATTTAAATTGTGATTTAAATCAACTCGATTTAAATCAAATCCACCCTGACTTAAATATCTGAGGACTTAAATGTTCTGTCCAACCAGAATTCCTAATACTAGTGAGGAATATCCAAGATCATACTGGAGTATATTTCTGCTGCTGCTGGCTTTCTGGTTGCAACTGACAAAGTAATGTTTGATTACATCCCTTTGGTTTTATAATAGGAAGAGGAAAAGGACCAGCTTCGTTTTTTTCAATTGTTGTGAGGAAATTTCACCTCTTAGCCTTGCATTTTGAGATAAACATTCTAAAAAACACTTCCCATGTAACATTTATGAAAGCTTCTCAGAGAGAAGGGAGTGAGAATCTAATCTTAAAAGTCTTAAAAGACTTGTACAAAAAGAAGTAATAAACCTTGAGAACTAGATGCTTGCAATGATTCAGTTGAAATTTAAGAAGAAAAACAAATCATAAGCTAGTTCTCCACTTGTCCTTTGTTGCAGGGTGGAAAGCACTCTCAGAACATTTGAGTCAGATACTACTGCCCTAAATCTGGGTTTTTTTTAAGTAATTAAAATTCCATAATGGTGATGTTAGGATTGGTTTATTACTTCAGTTTTTCTGATATTTGAAGGAATTTTAAATTTTATATGATGCTGTTTTTATCCTTATATCATAGCACAGCTACTCTTTAATGTTTGTATTGACAGCAGCTGACATTGAATGAATGTTAGTTAACGAACGATTCTACGGTATTATTCCAACTTTATATATTGGAGCTTGTGAACCCTTTTCCTCCTAGTCCACCTCCATCCCAGCTGTTGCTTTCTGCTAAGTTTGATTGAACTAGTTTGAGGGGGGAAGCAAACATTGAAAAAAGAATGAATTGACAATTACTAAATATGGATTTTCTTGCTAAAAAAGTCATATTTTAACCCAATTACAATATTTCACTGGTAATTCGATTGTATGGAAATTACTTTTCAGCATTCTACTATAGACAAAACATATGGAAAATCAGTAGCAAAATTTAGGATTTTAAATCTTACTAAATTCTTCAATATGACGTACTAGCACACTGATGATAGTTTCAGTAAGGAATCAGAAAGGGTACATTAAGATTGGAGCTTCATTGAGACACAGATGAAATATCTATATATTGCTAGGGTTAACATGGTTGTTTGTTCTTCATTAAGAATTTTGACTGAAATTCAGTGGCACACCTGTGATTTTTATGTCAGATAATACAGGGATTGGATTGCATGTTTTTTAAAAAAGAAAAAGGCCTAGCAAATGGAGGTAAGTAGCTTTTGATGTTGTTGATAGTGTGCAGTCCAGTTTTCTTAACAAAGTTTCGTTAGTAAACAATGGTTCACAATGTCCTTTAATTTTTGTGGAATAATATACTTAGATTGGATGAATCTGTGTATTCCATTATTGCCTGTAATCTTGAGATTCCCCATTCATCAATAGACCTCTTTCACTCCAGGTGATTTTGCTAGCCTAGCCTGTAAGCCTTAGTGAAAATCACAGAAACACATTTCTGTTTAGAACAGTTTCTGCTCAGACTGCACCCAGTCCCTTTTTCTTCCTTTCATATTTGTTCTGTCTTTGCACAGGTCCTCACGCTGAAACTGCCAGCGGATGCCAGAACTTGCAGTGTGGTTTCCGAGCCTGCTGCCGCTCTGGTGAATGATCCAACTCCTTACCTTTTCTGTCTACTTCATTTAACAGGCTTCCTCTCATGCACTTTACAGTTTGCATCTTGTTCTTGACTGTTTTCTTTAGGAGTGTGATTTGTGGATTGTTTTTGCTCTGTAATTCAGAAACTTGTAAGTAATTTGTGTAGGGTTTTATCATTTTTCACAGTGTTCCACACTGATTTGGAAAGTGAGAGGTTAAATTTTTTTGTGCTGTGAAATCATTAAATCATTTAGACACCTTCACCCTGATATTTGGCACTTAAATTTGGGGTTTTCCCCCTCTTTGTGCTAAGTCCATAAAAAAACTTATATATAAATCAGTGAATGTGAAACATATTTGGATAACATATATTGTTATATAGTTATTTTCCCCATAATCTTCTTATCCCAGAGTTGTTCTTCCTGAATTAAGAGAGATTTTTTTCTGTCTTTTAGTACTGATTTCACATTTTTGGCTTGAGGAACAGTAAATGAAACATTCCCATCAGCATCAGAGTTTGTTAGTCTAATAGAGCTACATTTACAGCAGGCCAGTGACTATTGTTGCCACATCTTGTGGGCTTCTCAAAGTATTTGCTTAACTGTAGATGCATAGCAATCATAATCCCCTACATCTTCTATGTAGATATACTAAAGATGTTGTATTTTGAAAGGGATTTTCCAAGAAGCAATTTCTCTGTGATAAGAGCAACTGTAATAAATAAACTGCAGCTTTAAGAAATTTTCTTGTATCCATTTGCATGCTGGAAAGATAAAAAAAGGTGAAAGATAATTTATTAGATAATTTGTTACTAGTGCTGGGTGGCATGTGTTTACAACTAGACCTCACTGACTGCCTGGTGCAGCAAAGTGCTGAAAAAAAAACTGCAACCATGGAATACATTTACCACCCTTGCAGTGTCCCACAGTCATGTGATTACCATTACAGTCATGCATTGTCTTGTGCCTGACCTCTCCTCCTGCAGAGTAGAGAGATGGAAGAGGAAGGGTAGGAAATAAGAGAGTAAAAGAATAAGCAGGCACATAATAGGGAATATATCCAGATGTTTGTGGCTTCCAGCTCCAAGCACACTACACAAAGAACCAGCAGCACTGCATTCCTTTTGATGTATATTCTCCATTGTTGGTCTGCCTACTCTCTTGTAACTCCTTCCTTTGCAATAACCAATTGAATTAATTAAAAAACATTAATTCCATTCTTCCTAATTTTCTCAGAACTGGGGTGAGCATTTCAAAGGTTGGAGGAGTGGCAAAGCATAGTCACAATCTTGTGATTTTCCACTTAGTCAATGCTTCATTTAGCAACCAGGCTGCTGATCCCTATTGTTGTCACTAAACGAGGACTACCAGTATTGAAAAATACAGTGCTTGGTTTCATGTCACATACAGTCTGAGAGCTGTGACTTTCCTAAAAAAACAAATAAAAATAATTTGTCCAAATGACCACCAACAGAAGGATAGAAGGATTTGAAAACTTTTCTGAAAGTACTTTTGTCATATTTCTGTGTCACAATTGGAGGAAAATAAATGTACTGTATGTTAATGTTTATTTTGTAAATAAGTTACCTTGATTTATATGGTATTTTAAACAATCACTTACAGAAGCTTTAAGTTTAAAAACAACTCACAAGAAATATTTACATACTTTGCATTAACAAGTAAAAAGACTGCAGATAGCAATTCAAATACATTAGAGTCTTGCCATTCTATTCCAAGCTGTTCCGTTTTCAGATTCATTCAATTCAGTGGTTGTCCTGGTAAGAGTCATCCACACAATTCCCCTCCACTAAATGTGAATGGGGACTTTTTGCACAAATGCCCAAAATTTGTCTTGTGTATTGAGAGTTTACTTGCCTACCTGTATGAGGACACAATGATATCTCTAAGAAATGATCAGGATTCATATCTAAGAATCAAGAAAGCCTGGCAGCAATAGTTGAGTTTTTTGCTGCCCTAGGATGGAAAATTTATACAACTATAAAACAATTTGCATCAGGAAAATTAAAGGATAAACACGGGTACAGCTATGCTGCCTTGAGCTGCTGGATTAAATGTGGATATGAATCAACTGCCTATTTCCCTTGATAAGTCTCCTCCCTGTCCATTTTGGAGAGTAATATCCAGACTTCTGAGTTGCCATTTCGGCTATACTCTTACAGTCTTCACAGCAACTGAAAGGGGTCTTACCTAATTAACTCTGATTGGGGGTGGAATATTTTACACTTCAATAATACCAACTGAAAATAAAATGAAAAAAGTTTCCCTGCATCGAATATACCTCAGCAGCATTAAAACTGGACATGTTTTACCAATTCTCATTCCATCTGCAATTTAATAAAGCTTCTGGTCTCAAGAGGTTGTGATTGCTCCATCACTGCGGGTTTTGAAGAAGAGATTGAATGGAATTGTGTAGGGTCTCTTGTCTGACCAAAGGGTGGACTAGAAGACCTTCAACATTCCTTCCAACTTTATTATTCTGTAATAATCTGCTTCATGTTTATCAAACTAAACTATATTATTCAGAATTCTGTGCTGCTTTTTCTTCAGAAGCTCCAGGTGACCTCTATAGGCATCTTCATGTTATATCTACAACCACTATCCAATAAGGTGAGCTGGGCTGGGGGAGACCATTTTGCCCTTAGTCATGAAGTTTCCATGGCTGAGGTTGGGTCAAGAGCTACCTTTCCTTTTAACCACCACAGTCCCTGGGTGTTGAGTTTAATGATCTAAGGTTTGAAGGCAAAAGTACTGAAATCTTTTGAGATGAGTATGTTCCTGCTGTGATATGACAGGAAATACAGAAGGGTATGATTGACTAAATACATGCAATACCAATGGCTTTCAACTCCTGGTTGCTCATTCTTGCCAGCCTCCTTGATAATATTAGTAGACTTTGGCACCAAAACCCCTGGGACGCCACCACAAAGATGTTTCTGTACACAAACCTTAACTGTATTGTGGGCTCAGGCAGGAAATTCCTTGAACAGCAGCAACTATTGGAATCTATGGAAATGATGGAAGCCAATCTGTTTCTGTAGAGTCCTATCGATTACAAACTAATGAAGCCACATAAATCCACACAGAAAGAATGTGTTTGGGGTAAGCATGAACATACACAGCTAGTGCAAATTCTGTGTTTGGAATTTCAGTTTTATGAACTCCTGTACTATATGCAGCCTCAACAATAGATGCAACATCTGAAAATGGCAAGTGGATGGGAAATCCAGAGACCTGCAAGAAGGGAAAGAATGAGAAGGATTATCTAATGACACCACTTCTATCATATCTGCTTCTAACAGCATTGGGTGGTCCCTGCAAAAAGTAGATGTTCTTAACCATTACCTGAACAGAGATCCTTTTCTGCTGTTTACATTAGAAAAAACAAAGTTATAAGTTGAACAACAAAAAAAAAGGCTTTGAATCAATTTTGCAGGCTTAGAAGTCAGGGAAAAAAATTGCACAACACAGCTTTGGAGTTACCTGTATTTTTCAGAGTATAAGACGCGCCGGAGTATAAGACACACCTTAATTTTGGGGGAGGAAAACAAGAAAAAAAAAGAATTCTGCCTCTGACTAATAGCATCAGAATCAGCAGCGTCCTCACTTCCATTTGGATTTTGATAACGAGTAGCACAAATCTTTTTATCAGTTTAAAACAAATCCTATCACGCTATTTAACTGGAGTGGGTGGGGTAGGGGATGATTTTCATGGGGGCAGAAGAGGGACTTGGTACCGAAGGCTCCACTCTCGAGGCGCCCCCGTCTTCCTACTTATAACTTTTTTATATATATAACTTTTTTATTTTTATTTCTCATAAACACATTTACATGTACAGTCATTTTCAACATTTTTCATTCATCTTTTCTTTTAACTTTCATTTTTCATTTTTACTTTTTCGGGACTGCTTTTTTATCCTTTACCTTTACTCCAACCTTTCTTCTCCTCCTCCCCTTCTCTTCCTTCCTCTCTCTTCTACTTCCTTTGTTCTTTCTCTCCTCTTTCCTACTTCCCCTTCTTTTCCCCCACTCCTCTCTTCTTCCCCCCTTCTAATCTTCTCCTCTACTCCTCTTTCCCCTCCCTTTTCTTCCTCTCCTTTTCCCTTCTTTCTCCTCTCCTCTCCTCTCCTTTCTTCTCCCTTCCTCTCTACTCCTTCCCCTCTCCTGTTTTCCTTTTCAGTTCAATCTAAAGTGGTATTCGAGCAGCCCCGATTTTCTAATTATCTTTATTCTCATTTCAATTTTATTCAATTATTTATTTTTATTTCATCATTTGCGTACATTTTTATAATATATCACTTTTTTCCCTTTACCCCCCCCTCCCCTTTCTCCTTTTACTTGACATCATTTGGGCATTTATTTTTCTACTTGTTTACTCCCATCTACTCTCTATTTTGTTTCTATATTCTTACTCATATTTCTTTTCTAACCAATCACAAAATTTATCCCATGTCTTGAAATACATCGACTCCTCTTTTATCTTTTATTCTCAATGTTAATCTATTCATTTCTGCACATTCTAAAATTTTCTTTATAATTTCTCCTTCCAATGGGATTTTATCTGCTTTCCAGTTTTGTGCAAATACAATTCTAGCCGCTGTTATTATATGAATAATCAAATATGTATCTTCTTTACTATATTTCTCTGGTACAATTCCCAATAAGAATATCTCTGGTTTTAACTCTATGTTGCTGCAGCATTTCCTCTAACCATGTTTGTATTTTCACCCAATATTGTTTTGCTTCTTTACACAACCACAACATATGATAGTATGATCCCGGCAATTGGTGACATTTCCAACACTTAGCTGATTTATCTTTAAACATCTTAGCTAATCTTTCTGGTGGCATATGCCATCTATAAAACATCTTACACAAGTTTTCTTTATAGGCTGTTGCCATTGTTAATTTGTAGTTTCTTTCCCAAAGTTGTTGCCATTTCTTCAATTCTATGGTATATCCAAAAAAATTTGCCCATGCTATCATTATTTCTTTTACTTCTTCATCTTCTAATCTAATACGCAGTAAATAATTATATAATTTCTTAATCATTTTCTCATCTGTTCCTGTCAATATTTCATCCAGTTCTGATTTCCCTAAGTTAAAGCCATATTTTCTATGATAGGCTTCGTATCTTGATTGTATTTGCAGTCTTGTATATCAATCTATCTCGATCCCTTGTCTCTCTAGTTCTTATTTTTGTTTCAGTTCTCCCCGATCTGTCAAAATGTCTTTATATCTAACAATATTCCCCATGTTCACAGTATTGGGTATGTCACCACTTCTATTGTAGAAAGCCACACTGGAATATTCAAATAATGTTTTTCTTTCACTCTCTCCCACACTGATAACAAACCATTTCTTACATAATGTCTTTGGAAATATCCATGTATCCTTTGTTTCCCGTACCATAAAAAGTCATGCCAACCCAGTTGTAAATCCTCCAATGTCAATAGTCTTGTATTCCTTAATAAAATCCATTCTTTAATCCAAGTTAACGCTGCTGCTTGATAATACAATTCCCAATTCGGAAGGCCAAACCCACCTCTAATTCTTGCATCTTGTAGCATTTTTTGTTGATCCTTGCTCTTTTTCCTTGCCACACATATTTCCACATTATTTTCTTCAACTTTTCAAAATATTTTTTCTCCAGTTTGAAATAAAAATAATATTTTTGGTAATACATTCATTTTTTATTAATGCTATTCTTCCCATTAGTGATAATTGCAAGTTTCTCCATTTCTCCAGGTCTATTTCAATTTGTTTTTTCAGTTTATGATAATTGTCTTCCTTAAGCGTTGCACATCTTGATGTCAGATAGATGCTCAAATATTTCACTTTGTTCACAATTTCAATGCCCAGTTTCTCCATCATCTCCTTCTTTTGCTTTTCTCTCATATTTTTAACTAATATTTTTGTCTTATCTTTATTAATTTTCAGACCTGCTACTTTCCCATATTCTTCTATTTGTTCTAATAGTTTTGGTACTGTCTCTATTGGGTCTTCCATGATAAACACCAAATCATCCACAAATGCTTGTAGTTTATATTCTTCTTTTTTAATTCTCATTCCTTGTATTTCATTTTCCTGCCTCACTTTTCTATTTAAAATATTTAATGTCAATATAAATAATAATGGAGATAAAGGACATCCTTGTCTTGTTCTTTTTCTAATATCTAATTTCTCTGTCATTTCACCATTTACCATCACCTTTGCCACTTGGTCTCTATATATAGTTTGGATCGTATTTATAAATCTGTCTCCAAAATCCATCATTTTCAACTGTTTTATCATAAATTGCCAATTCACGTTGTCAAACGCCTTTTGTGCATCTAAAAATAACAACACTATTTGTTTCTCTGAGTGTAATTCATAATATTCTAATGGGTTAAATATAGTTTGCATATTATCTCTAATTTGTCTTTTTGGTAAGAAGCCATTTTGGTCCAAATGTATAAACTCGTTTAATATTTTTTTTAATCTTTCAGCCATGATTGATGCAAAAATCTTATAATCCGCATTTAATAAGAAAAAAAGAATTCTGCCTCTGCCTACCAGGATCAGGATCAGTGGCGTCCTCACTTCCATTTGGATTTTGATAACGAGTAGCACAGATCTTTTTATCAGTTTAAAACAAATCCTATCACTCTATTTAACTGGAGTGGGTAGGGTGGGGTGGGGTATGATTTTCATGGGGCCATAAGAGGGACTTGGTACCGAAGGCTCCACTGTCGAGGCTCCCCCATCTTCCTACCTATAGCTGTAGGTGTTGAAAGCCTGGCTTTCTTGCAGCAAGGCCCCATAGAGACTCAGCACTTCAGTCCTCCTGGATGCTGCTATCTCATAAACACGGTGCCGGGCTTCTCGGCAAGCCCCCTGCGCCTTTGCTGCCTTGGTCGGAGCCTGATTCTGGAAGCGGCCCGGGAAAGCGCGAAAGTTGGGATTTGGTTGGCGAAGCAGGCGCTGCGCAGGGGGCATAAGACAAAGTGCTACCACCCAAAAATCTCTTGCCACGATCTCTGCTGCCTGGAGATCTCTGCTGCCTTCCCAATTCCAAAAATGGGGTGTGCAGAGGCAAAGAAAGAACATCACGTTTTCGGGCAGTTCCAGGCAGCGGAGATCGCTGCAACAGTTTTTGGGTGGCAGCACCATGCCTTGCACCTCCTAGGTACCGCCCAGCAAGCCACCAGTTCCTTGAAGATGTAAGCCCACTCAGCACACCCGAATCCTGCAGGTGGTCTGCACAGACAACCCTCATAGCAGCCATGGGGGCAGAAATCTCGGGAGGTTAAGAAGAAGTCTATTGCTGTAGGGAGTGGGGATCTCCAGTCCTCGCACAAGTTGTGAAGGCAGCCATCAGAACTACTGGAGCTGCTTCCAGGCAGACCCTGGGAGACCTCACAGCTCTCGGTGGCTAAAGGGGAAGAAGACAATTCTGAGCACATTGAGAACACACACACTCCTGTTGCTGGAAGAAGGGGAGAAGGGCTGCTTCTCCTGCAGTCCCCCACCCCGTCCTTGCGCCTACACTCCTCCCTCCTCAGCTACCTTCTCTTCCCAAATGGTCTTCGTGCCCAGAGGGGCTCCATCCGCAGTCGAGGTTGGTTTTCCCCCTTTGCTCTCTTGCACTGAGCAGCTGGGGGGCAGCATGAAGGAGAAATGTTCCCCACAGCCGCTTGGTTGTTTGACCACCCGAAATGGATCAGCGCTGCCTCCACAGTTGCCAGCTGCTGCTTTCTCCCAGGATCATTTATCAACAAGTCAGAAAAACAGGACTTCTGGTTTGGTTCCCGTCGTCGCCAGACGGTCTTTTTTTTGACCGCCAGCCCCGTCGCCTGTTAAGAGCCGCTTCGATAATTGAGAAGCGGCTTGGAAAACTCCGAATTCCAGAGGAATCGTGAGGAGAGCCGGCGAGACTAGGTAGAGCCCCTGCGAAGCCCCCAGACTGTCTTTTTTTGCTTCTGGGGAGGAAACAGGCGAGGCTCCCTATCCAGCTCGCCGAGGCTCCGGTCCTCGGGGACAACTCTACATTTCGTAGAGCCAGACGGCATGACCAACCTCACCAGCGAAAACAAAGAGAATTTCTAAACAAACAGGGTGAAATCCGGACTTGAACTTCAAAACAGCAAGTATCTGTGTTAGCCCTGTGATTAAACTTTAAAGTGAAAGATTGAAAGTTTTTCTGAAAATGGCGCCCGGCTTCAGCGCTAGGAAAAGCTGAAAGCGAAAGTGGA